CTACTATTTCCATTTGTAGTCTCATTTGGGATTTCTCAGTTGGATCAAAATGCTCTCAGTTGGACAGTCCAAGGCCCATTACCATATAAATAATATGTGAAAAGATGAGGAAGTATTTGCTTTCATTTGGGATGAAAATTGAAGTAGGAACTCCTATACTTCTATACTCTTAGAAAAGACTTTTACTTCCCATCAAAGTATCCCACAGTACTTTGTCAGATTATGTGAAATTGTTTTAAAAATTCCATACAAGACTTACTAAAAGTGGTAAACTAAAAGTGGTAATAATAAGCTGAAATAAGTTACACTTTTTATTAATGTAGCAATCTATTTTTCTGAATAAGAACAATAGTAGAAAATATCTACATGTAACTAGAGATAGACAATAAATTCACTGCTATTTGAAACATTTAATATTTCACATTTTTATTATAAAAGGAAATTATATATTTAAAAATTGAAATACAAACATATGTAATAGAAAGTGAAAGTTAGTACCCCTTACATATACATGCCATTATACTTGTACAAATATATTTACATTTATTTACATATTGGATTTTTGTTTCATTCCATGTTAGTACATGTAGACTGACCTGATTTTTTTTTTTAACTTAGGTTCAAGGGTACACGTGCAGGTTTGTTACATAGGTAAATTGTGTTTTGTAGGGGTTTGGTGTACAGATTATTTTGTCACCCAGGTAATAAGCATAGTACCGGCTAGGTAATTTTTCAGTCCTTACGCTCCTCCCACCACCCTCAATGTAGGTCCTGGTGTTTGTTGTTTCCTTCTTTGTGTCCATATAAATTCAGTGTTTAGCTCCCACTTATAAGTGACAACATGTGGTATTTGGTTTCCTGTTCCTATGTTAGTTTGCTTAGAATAATGGCCTCCAGCTTCATCCATGTTGTTGCAAAGTACATGATCTCTTTCTTTTGTATGGCTGCATAGTATTCCATGGTGTATATGTACCGCATTTTCTTTATCCAGTCTACCAATGATGAGAATTTAGGTTGATTCCATGTCCTTGCTTTTGTGAATAGTGCTGTGTTGAACATACACTTGCATGTGTCTGTATGATAGAATGATGCCTATTCCTTTATGTATATACCCAATCATGGGATTGCTGGGTCAAATGGTAATTCTGTTTTAAGTCCTTTGAGAAAAGCCAAACTGCTTTCCACAGTGGCTGAACTAATTTACTTTCCCACCAGTAGTATATAAGTGTTCCCTTCTCTCCACAACCTCACTAGTATCTGTTATTTTTTGACTTTTAAATAATAGCCATCCTAACTGGTGTGAGATGGTGTCTCATTGTGGTTTTGATCTGCATATCTCTAATGACATGCCAATCAAATTTAAAGTCAGTTATGCTACATACATTTAACATAGTTAAGCTGCAACTGATGGGCATGTAGTTTGTTACAATAATAGTTTTTCTCTATTAAAAACAATGCTATAGAGCGTGTATGTGTCCATATATTTTTGAGCATTTTTTCTAACATATTTGTAGGAAGTTTCCTAGAAGAAGGATTATTGACTCAGTCCTTCTAGGAGAAAGTTATTTGTCAAAATATTAAATGATATTTTCAAATAGTTTTCCAGAAAGATTGTACCAATTTATAGTTCCATTAGGAGTGGGATTCTTTGCTGGGCATGGTGGCTCACGCCTGTAATCCTAGCACTTTGGGAGGCCAAGGCGGGTGGATCATGAAGGCAGGAGTTCAAGATCAGCCTGGCCAAGATGGTGAAACCCTGTCCCTACTAAAAATACGAAAATAAGCCAGGCATGGTGGCAGGTGCCTGTAATCCCAGCTACTCAGGAGGCTGAAGCAGAGAATTGCTTGAACCCGGGAGGCAGAGGTTGCAGTGAGCTGAGATCACACCACTGCACTCCAGCCTGGGTGACAGAGTAAGACTCTGTCTCAAAAAAAGAAAAAAAAATATTTTAAATTAATTTGAAACCTGTAAGTGAAAAATACATGTAATATAAATATAAATTTATTTCCTTATTGATGATATGTGTTTTTTCATATTTTTTGCCATTTGTATTTCTCCTGGAAATTGCCTTTTCATGCTCTTGCTCCATTAAAAAAAAAATCAGGTGATTTCTCACTGCCTGTTGATTATTAAGTGTATTTCCACATCTTTAGTTCCCACTGGCAGTATTGTAATCACACCTTGAGTGTTGGCAGTGAATAGGGATCAGATGTTTTCAGTGAAAAAACGACTGAAACACCTAGGTACAAAAAGAGAGGTTTGTTTTTTTTTTTTCCCCCAAAAGGCTTTTTTTTGCTTGTTTTTAAAGTACTGGTCCAGGGAGAAGCAGTCTTCTTTTAAAATTTTTATTCATTTATTTATTTAGAGATGGAGTCTCACTCTTTTGCCCAGGCTGGAGTACAGTGGCTGGGTCTCGGCTCATTGCACCCTCCTGTGTGTTCAAGCGATTCTCCTACTTCAGCCTCCTGAGTAGCAGGGACTACAGGTGCCCACCACCATGCCTGGCTAATCTGAATTATTTTAGTAGAGACAGGGCTTCACCATGTTGGCCAGACTGGTCTCAAACTCCTGGCCTCAGGTGATCTGCCTGCCAAAGTGCTGGGATTACAAGTGTGAGCCTGTGCCAGGTTCCCCAGTCTTCTTTTGTTTATAGAGCCAGTTAGAAAATACTTCGGTTTTGTGAGCCATGCAGTCTACATCAAAGCAACTCAGCTCTGTCATAGCATGAAAGCAGCCGTAGATAAAACCTGAATAGTTGTGTTACAATAAAACCTGATTTATGGACATTGAAATTTGAGTTTCATATAAATTTCATTCGGCATGAAATTTTATTCATTTGATTTTTTTCCTCACAAACATTTGAAAAGGGGTACAAATGATATTATTTACGTAAGTGTACAGTGTGTAATGGGCAAATCAGGGTAACTGGGATATCCATCACCTCAGGCATTCATTTCTTTCTGTTAGGAACCACTCTTTGAGTTACTTTGAAATATACAATATATTATTTTTAACTGTAGTCACCCTGTTGTGCTATGGAACACTAGATATTATTCCTTCTCACTAACTGTATTTTTGTACTCATTTACCAGTCCCTATAACCCTCCTTCCCCATGACTCTCTGGTAACTGTCATTCTACTCCCATAAATGTGTACAGCTATCGTGTATCCATAATAATTAAAAACAAAAATGAAAACAAAACATTCCTAAATCCCAAGCTGTACAAAAATAGGCAGTGGGCTAGGATTTGGCCTGTGGGCTATAGTTTGCCAACACCTGCTTTAGACCTTTTCTGTAAGAAATCACTGAGAAAAACTGTCAATAACCAATACCTTTAGGACTTGTAAGCCACTAGAGGCGCTATGGGCAAGACTACATTTTGTTGTCTCATCTTTTGAACTTTTGCACGGCCTGGACCTGAGTCTACAGAATTTTGGCTTAATTAAAAAAATAAAACTTACTGTGGGCGGGGGTGGTGGCTCACACCTGTAAATCCCAGCACTTTGGGAGGCTGAGGCGGGCGGATCACAAGGTCAGGAGATCGAGACCATCCTGGCTAACACTGTGGAAACCCATCTCTACTAAAAATACAAAAAAAAAATGTTAGCCAGGCATGGCGGCATGTGCCTGTAGTTCCCAGCTACTTGGGAGGCTGAGGCAGGAGAATGGTGTGAACCAGGAGGAGAGGCTTGCGGAGTGAGCCGAGATCGTGTCCACTGCACTCCAGCCTGGGCGACAGAGCGGAGACTCCATCTCCAAAAAAAAAAAAAACAAAAAACTGTGAAATGTGGGGTTAATGCTATATATGTTGATATGCCAAAAACTAGAGATAGTGGTATGTTTTATGTATAATGAGCAATCCATAAATACTCTCACACTGTTTTTAATGGGTTTAGTTTGATGTAGGAGTATATGATGTCTAAGTTATCTGAATAAAGAAATCCCAGCAAAGTGTGATTTTAGAGTTTTATGTAAAATTTCTATGGCATATATACATACCCATGAAACATAAGTAATTCCAAATACTTTCAGTTATTTTTACTAAAATACCATATTACTATTAGCATTTGTTTATTTCCTTTCTTGTGGAAATTGTCATCTCAGTGACAAAGATTTTTGGGGTAGTTTGTGTCCACTCTGCAGTCTCCCAACATCTGACCTCCATGACACTGTGAAGTAGTCGATTTTAATCCATGCCTCTACCCCTGACTTGGATGGGTGGAGGGATAAGTCTGCCTTTCATTTCTGTTATATGCAAAAGAAGAAGGTTAGATTAGTTAATCTCTAGATTATCTTCTACCTCAAATATCCTGGTATTCCTATAGAACATATAAATTTATGCATATGATTTTAGAGTGAACTGTATTAGTCTACATAGCAGAAATTGTTAGTGCTGTTTATCCCAGCAGTATATAGGTTATATAATATATGAACTGTCCCTATATCTCCATTGACACTAAGTGCTCACTTTTAGTGGTGCCAGAGAAGGAAATGTGGCTGGTTGGAAATAAATACCACTTAGTAGTTAAATGAGTTCAGCTTCGTACTGAAATAGAACTCAGCAGAGGTTGTGGAGGGTTTCGATAAAAGTGATTATTATTAAAGTTCAGTGAACTTTATACAACAATACACCCTTTTATTTCTTCTGGCATTATATTTAGGTGTTGATATCTGTTCCTCCTTTGAGAGTCACCTCTGAGGATCATACAAAATTGAGATAAGTGATGTAAACTTCCACATGTGTTATATGTTTTGTTTATGTTAAAATAGCGAATATGTCTTGTGTAGAATTAGACTGCATGTCATAAGTCTGACCTGTTTTATCATTTACATTTGAACTTATTGAAATGAGATGTCATCTTTAGAAGAGACTTTGCACAATAACATGTAATAAAAGTGTTGGCATTAGTTATTTCTTAACTGGATTCGATGTAGTTGTATATGGTAAGGTGTGTCATGGTATCTAATATCTTTCAACAAAGAATTTACACCAAAGAGTGATTTAGAGTTTAATGTAAATTTTGTATTTTATACACACCAGTACAAACAAATAATTACAAATGGATCAATCACTTTCCTCTCAGTAGTTATGCTGTGCAACTTTGTAATCATATTTAATTAATTTTTTTTCACTAACGTAAAATGTTCATTAACCTAATTAGCAGGTATTTTCTAGAAGCTAGTTAATAAAGGTAAGTGTCAATGATGGTATTATTGAGGTTGTAAAAAATTAGTAAAACTAGTTTCTCTAGAATTAAGGAAATATTTCTATATTGTTTAGTGTTAGAATATCATAAAAGTAACTCTCCTTATTTTAATGACTTTGATATTTCTTCTCTGGTAAAGGTCTTCTTCAAGTGTCTTCTTAATAAACAAAAAAATTAAGTCCAGTCAAATACAGTTTCAATTAGTTTAAATTTAACCCTTAGATTTTTGCTCATAATTAAAAGTTATTATTCTTTGTGTATTCCACTTACTCAAATTTTTATAAGTATCCCAATAGGTCAGGATTTGGTTAGGGGCTAGGATATATATACATTTTAAGTGTCATTTTTGGTAAGAAGATTGTATCCAATTGATAATTCTTCCTTAGTTGATTATGAAGAAATAAAATCGTGAGCAATAATGTATTTTAAACATTACGGTAGATATTATATGATTACTCATTTGGGCAAAACTCTGCAAAACGTGAATTCTGTATAGTTTTGCATGCAGCATGCCAATTGGATGTCATTTGTTTTGATACTATACAGCTACAAGTTAGATTAGTTTTCTATATTTTAACATAGCTTTTCATACTGGAAAGGTAAATGAAAATTGCTTTTGTAAATCTTCTATTACTTGTTTTAAGAGTCATTGTTATTAACTCAGTTGCTTCTTCGTCAGTTACTATTTTTACGTAGCGCTTTGCTTTAATGAGTTCTGAACGCAAAGAGATTGACATATTTCCTCAGTTAATATGTTTACATTGGAGTCTCTTCATTTGGGTCACCATCATCCTGTTCTTTTTTCCTATTGTCCTGGGACTGAGATGTTGCACAATTGGGGCACTTCAGCATACTTATCAAGGAATTTCTGAAGGACTTGCAAAGAAAAAAATAGATGAACGGATCCAGGCATGCATTTAAGGAAGTTAACCACAGAGTACTCTCTTTCACATAGAACAGAGTATTTTCAGCGGCGCAGTCAAAGACATCCCGGGTTTGGCTCAGGGTATAAGGAATTCGGGCAAAATGGAAAGGAACAAAACAAATAAAGAATACAGCAATGATAATGAAAACTTTGACGTTCACCTTTTTCCTGGGGACTTTACCTACACCCCTTGTTCTTACATATGACCGGTACAGTTCTTTTGTAATGAGTGTGTAACATACAATGACAATTAAGAAATTAATCCAGAAAATGACTTGACAGATGTAATTTACTATTTCATGCCAGACTAGGCCGAACTCTGATTTAAGGAAAGAGCATTTCTTCACATTCTTGTCTCTTGGCCGCCTGTTGGTCAGAATCATGTTAGGCAAAGAGAGTAAGAACATGAATGCCCAGATGACAACAGAGAGAATCTTAGCCCCCAAGAGATTTTTGGGGTTGGATGTTTTAAATGGCCTGGTGGTCTTCTGGTAGCGATCGATAGTTATCAGTCCCAGGAATGAAATACTGATATACATTGTGAAATAAAATATGACGGAGGTAACTTGACACACAAAAGTTCTCAGTGGTCCTGTTCCCAGTTTGGCATCACTAAGAATTTTGAATGGAAAAGTCAGAATCATGAGAAGATCGGAAATGACTGTATTCTTAAGAAAAATAATAAAGTTTGATTTACTCCGAATTTGAAAGAAAATCCTCATCGCCAGGCTATTTGTGATGAGTCCAACAAAAAACAGGACAGTGTAGAGCAGTGGGAAGAGGACCTGGGTGATTTTGTAGTCTCTGGTGCACAGACTGGTGTTCCCAGGCGCAGATGTGAGGTTGTCGATGGCTTGCATTTCTTGTTGGTTACCTAGAGAACAAGAGAGAGGATGGTTATTTTCAGCCTGAGGTAGTTACTGTTGCTGTTACCTCTGTGTGTAACTTTTTTGGACACAGCCTTCTCTGAAAGTTGAGGTTTCTCATCTTCATTGTAGTAGTTAGTAGGAACACAGAAAACTGAATCCCAAAGTATTTCATTGCAGCAAATACTGCATCTCTGCTGAAGAGAAATGATGTGAAGTATAATATGTGAAGTTATAGATGCTTAGTATTTTTTTATTTGTTGAATATTTCCCTCTTAAAGCACATTTTGACTCAGAGCTCACTCATATTTATATGCAAAAGCTAGAAGAGAAATAATGGGGCTGTGCTTTACTCTTCTCTAGCTTCCCCTCCATGCCTTTTAGTTTTTTGGTTTCTAGTCACAGTCTTTTTTCCCCCACCATCCTTATTTCTGAGCTTCTTTTCCTGTAGTACCGTCAAAACATTTGAGAGAGAAATGATGGATAATTGCCCATTAGAATCCTAAAGTAATAAAAAGGGGGAAGAAATTGGTATAAACTGCTCTTGGGAAACTTATTAAATAAAATACTGAATCAGTTAAAAAAAAAAAAAGCTGAACCTTTTTTCTTTATATTTGGAAGATATTCCTGCCTCTGTATTGCCCAGTCACTCATTCAAAAATTGGCCTCACAGAGATTCATTATTCTGCTTCAAATATTTTAACCCGTGTATATTTTATTTCCAGCTTTGCTCAGTGTTTTGAAGTTGCTGCATACATTTTCTTGAATATCATTCAGTGTACATTTTAAAACAGTAAAAAAAAAAATGAGAGACAGAAATGGCCTGTGTATATATGGTCATGAGTTGGCATTCCTCAAAACAGGGCATACTTTCCAGATTTGTGGAGTGTGTAATGGTAGCTAAAATAAGATATAGGTTATTACCACAATAGACAGCTGTAAAGAAAACTAACAAGTGATTTGAATATGCTATGTGGCATCTACATCTTAGAAATTTGAAATGATGTTTGTAATCTTTTTATTTCACCAGAGATAAATGAAATTGATTCTACATAAAATATTCTTAATCAGAGATATATTCAAAGTACAAATAACAAATTTAAAAAAATAACTTTCATGTAAGATATATTTAGATAAATGAATGTAGCACTTAAATTTCCCAAAATGTCCGTGGAATTCCTTTCTATCCTTAACTATGGAAAGAAAATGATTAAGAATCATGTTGTCACAGTATGGCTTCAATTTTCAACATCTCCTCACCTATTTAGCACTTTAAAATAATACTAAACAAAACCTAATATTTTGTAATACAAGATCAATGATTTTAACCTTCCCTGCTACTGCTGTATGGTCTTAGTTCATCCCTGACACTTTTGGAAATTTGACTTTGTGAATATACATTTTGCTTAATCTGTAAGTTATTTAACAAGTATTCTTGACATTGAGAATTTCAGCTCCCTTTATCTGTATTTAAATCTCATTTTATACTTGAGGCAAGGTAACTAAGACCATTTATATTTTATTTCTATGCTTTATATAATTTTTCTTAATGAAGAGGCTAATTAACAGTTGTCTCTGACATTAGTTACTTCTATTTTAATTTTTATTTTTATTCCAAATACATGCTTGCATTGATAGTTATTAAGGTTTACAATTTTAAGAGAAACTTGGACAAAAATGTACACACATATCAGAGTGTAAATACATATATTTGTCAAGTATTTGTAGAAATAACATTACCTGATAACCGTTGATTCTGGAGGATTTGAATGTATCCAGTAAATAGTAGTTATTGCAGCGTGCAGAGTGGCATCTGGTATTTTCCTTTTAATGTCTTAGTTTAGTTGCCAAACCTCTTTGTGATAGAGAATTTCCTGAGTTTTTGTCAGTAAAGTCTTGAGTGTTCTATAGAGAAATAGAAGGAGAGGAAGAGAGGGCTTTACAATCAGAGATTGTCTTCAGACACTGGACTCAAAGCTATGCAGACACTGAATTTCTCTCTCTCCTCTTTTAGGACTTCTGCTTTTATTTCCCAGGAAATGTGGGATGAGGATGGCTGAGAAGTCATCTTTTAAAAAGCAATTTAAAAATCTTGTGGCTTTTTGCTGAAACCTGCTATAGAGTTGATGGTTTATAACTTCGAGTTATGGTTATTTTCTCTGCAAACGATAAATCCAAGTTGAGATCAAACCTTCGCAGTCTGCTTCCTGGAGAAGATTTTAAGCTTGCTTTCTTGGGTGGTTAATTTATCTGAAATATATTGTGTACAACACTGGGTGATGTATTTTCTTCTAACAAGTAATTACGTTAACTCAAAATGCGTGCTGGTTAGAGATGTTAAGTGTCTGGCCCTTTGTTTTTTCCTTGGTTAATAATGTCATTATTTTAAACCTGTGTTTGATTAACTCCTTTGTGGGTGAAACAGCTTCCTTCTATTATAAATTAGCAGATTCCAAAATTACATTAGAAAAGTGATTGTATCCATTGCCAGGCTTATTATTTACAGTGTCCTTTGTGCTTTTCTTGAATAGAATTTAAATATAAACAGTTTTTTTTTTTGTTTGTTTGTTTCTTTACCTAACTTTGAGTTTTTGGGAAAATATAACATTAAATTAAGGCATCCTTGTATCACAATTATTTATAATTATTTAACTTTGAAACCAAAAGGGCAAAAAATATGTTAGGGGTGAGATTGAAGGGCAAAGTGTTTTGCTGCTTTAACTTTATGTAAATATTGCTTTGTGGAAACACGCACCCCGGTATTTCAAACTGCAATGTCTTTCTGTTATCAGTGGAAATCATTTGTGTTGGTGCCTTTGCTGTGAACACATGTTTTGGTTATTTCTTCTGCATTTTGAGTGTTTGTCTATATCTTTACATGTTAAATATCTTCATTGGTTTTCAAAATGCAGAGGAGCAGCTCTGCATCACTTGGGAACTTGCTAGAAATGCACATTTGTGGGCACCAACCTAGCTGAGTGAATCAGAAACTCTGGGGTGCCCCACCCTGCATCTATATTTTAGTGAGCCTTCCATTGATGCTCAGTACACTCAAATGTGAGGACCACTGATTTAAATGGATATAAGAATTTTGTTGCCATTTAGAACTTGAAGCTATTAATATCAGTCATTTCAGGCATGTAATAATCCCTAAATGTTGGTCGTCTTAAAGGGATTAGTTTGGTATTAAACTCTCGGAAAGAGTTTTATTGTTATTTTTAAATATGACTTCTGTGGTAAACAAATCTCCACCTTCCTTATTTGTCAGAGACCCACAATTTTAAAAAGAGCTTTTATGCCGTATGTACTTCAAATAATAGTTGCCAATATTTAATTTCTTATACTGTCATGAATTAACTCACTTTATTATCTCAACTACTCTCTGAAGTCCACTTATCATCCTCATTCTCTGGATGAAGGGAACTGAGGAGCAGAGCGGTGAAGTTAGATGGAGACCCCATTCTGACCTGTGCTGTCTAGTTAGTCCTAGAATCTGTATTTGTGAATTTCTGTACCTGAGAATCTTCCCTATCATGCCCTCTCCTCAACTCCTCTCCCACTAAGAGGCCCAGGAGTGAGAGGTGAATCTCATGTATGGGATGGCTGTACGTCTTTCAGTAAAATAAGCACCATACTTGCCTTTACAACAAATTGTAAATGCTGAAGGATGTTTTTGATGCTTTTTCTAAGACCGTCAGATGAAACAAGGCTTATACAAGAAAATGATGATTATTTTTAACAAATCAATCTGCCATATTAAAGGAAAACTAATTTAGGTTACTTATACTACCTTATTGAGAACTTATATTTCTAAACTTCTAGAAGGGCTAACAGTAGGGATTTGAGGGCTAAAAGAAGGGCTTCAGTTCTTGATCTAAATTAACTTTATCTTTCCTCTGATTTCTAACTCACAACCACATACCTATTTACGAACCACCTCTGATAACATTTTTTCATTGGAGGAAGGCTGCCAGTTAGATCACTTAATGCTGAAAGTGACACAAATCTTTAAGTGAAAAGTAACTCAGTAACAGAAATACATATTCATATGAATAGAAGCAGAGCAAGTTATATATACTTTAATCTCGTTAGTAAATAACATCAACACATACAGTTTGTAGTTATTTGTATTAGTGTTGGGAACAGAGCTAATTTTGGTTGATTTGGTTATTTTGTATGATTGAGATGAGTTAGAAAAATGAACAGAGTTTTTACTTTTAAGTAGCTTAATTGGTTTTTATTTTACCAAGTCTACTAAAGGTAGTCTGCTTGTCTGAAAATGTTTGCTTCAAATGGGATTACTCTGAAACCTGTAGTCTTTTGGAACTGGGCAGGAGGATAGAAATATAATTATGACATTTGATTAGCTCTTAGGCTGTTTTAGTTCTAGTGGTCTCTGGTTCTAAATGTGGTCATTTTGACATTGATGAATATTTTGTTTGAGGGCGTGTGTTTTAAAGCAGTGCATAGTCATGTCTGCTAGCTTGGCTTTATTCATTGGAATACAGAAATTTAGGTTAGATATCAACAGGTTCCAAAAATAACGAGTCTTGGGCATTGAAATATTTTGCAAAAAAGAATGCTGTCTTGTGACCTAGTTATCTGACATCCCAGTCTTAAGTGTTTTGCTTGTAAATAGAGGACCAGTATATATAAATATCAGTCATACTGTGGACTATAAGCTGTGTAGAATAAAGATTTCATATACAAATCTAGTTAAATCAGCTTCCTATTTTCTTGATTTACAGAAAATATACTCCACTTTGTGTATAGTTACTAATGATAAAAGAAAAAAAACCTTTCAATATCTTCATTCCTGTAACAGTTTCCTCATCCATGTGCACATCCATTCTTCCTCCCAGGCTCGAGGCTTATTCCTGATGAAACATTTATATGAACTTGTTTTATTCCAAACAAAATAGTATGGTATATTGAAAGATTCAGCTGAAAGAAATAGTGTTTTAAGGCATCTTTTAAGAGTTATTTAATAAGCTAAAAATGTTAACTAAATGCACTTATTGTTTCTGAAGACTGGTTTTTACTGCTTTTCTTAGAGATGTGATAGGTTGCTGTGTGCAGTTGACTTCCGGATATATACTGGATTTGCATTTGAAGTAGAGCGTACAAAATTAGGGAGTACTGGGAAGTATGAAGTGCCATATTTTGTTTTATCAGAAGGAATTACATCACTTCATCTGTTTTTTATTAGTGTTTGGAAGAAAGAAAGCTTATTCTGAGTGAGATCTTTTTCATTTTTCTTTAAGGACATTAGTAATTTTAAAATTCTATGATAATTGAATCATTGTTGAAATCTCAGAAAATGTGAATAAGGTGAAAGGAGAATACACAGCTCTGATCATCTTACCATCATTATCACATCTTTGTCAACACACACACATTTTGGCAAAATTTCTAATCAGTTATTTTAAAGAAATAAAGATGAATTAGAGCAGACCTCAATTCCATTAACTCCATTTCTTCTTTCTAAGGACATTTGACTCAAGAGACATGTTTTAATTAATGTAGTACAACAAGCCTGCCAGGGTTTTGGGCATGCATGCTTCTAGTTTCTTTATCTGTTAAGTCTCTGTGAGTGTAAGATAATATCTGGAGAAAGAAAGTAATTGATCTAAAGGATGAGGTTTTTAGAACTTAGTTTATAGGGGAGATGACACATTCAATTCAATAGCAGCAGGTGGACTAGGGTAAAAGAGGTAGCCTGACATCTCCTGTAATAGACTCTCCAGTTGATGCTTTTCCTTGTCCAACAACTGTATCCTTGGGGGAATAAACAAGTGAGTAAGTTTTGGGTGCTTATCTCAGATTATTAATATTATTTACAACTGTGCAACTTGAGGGTGTTTAAACACCAAGTTGAAAGCAGAAATCATTGATACTTTTGAAAATATTTGGTATATTTTCTTAGGTTGACTTTATTCTCATTTGTTATAAATTGCTATTTGAAGGCTTCTACGTTTTCTTTCTTTTTTCTTTTTTTTTGAGATGGAGTTTTGCTCTTGTCATCCAGGCTGGAGTGCAATGGCACGATCTTGGCTCACTGCAACCTCTGCCTCCCGGGTTCAAGCGATTTTCCTGCCTCAGCTTCCCGAGTAGCTAAAATTACAGGCACCTGCCACTATGCCTGGCTAGTTTTTGTATTTTTAGTAGAGATGGAGTTTTACCATGTTGACCAGGCTGGTCTCGAACTCCTGACCTCAGGTGATCCTCCTGCTTCGGCTTCCCAAAGTGCTAGGATTACAGGTGTGAGCCACCGTGCCAGCCTGCATTTTCTACTTGTATAAAAAACTGATGTAAACAAATCTTGTAGGCTCTTGAAAAATAGTAGCTTTTAAAATGCCTCTGCCTGTCCTATTTGAAGACTACTATAGTAACACCTATCATGAGTTCCCTGAAAATATTAATGCTAAGAAAGGGATACTGTCTTTGCACCCCATATAGAGACTGAGCAGTGATTGTTTTCCAGTTCACTGCCTGCTGCTTTTGCTTTTCAATTTTATCCCCGCGTTCTCAACTCATGACTTTGTTCCTTGACCCAACTCCCTGAGCATATCAAGGCCAAGGAATGATTTGAGCTTCTTAAGTGTCATCTTCACCTCAAAATGTCTTTTTATTTTCACTAATTTTCCTTTTTTCTGATGGTCAGGTAGAAAGATGTTCCTTTCTTTCTTTCCATATTAATTCAGCTAAGAGGCCATTGTCTCTTATATCCTTTATCATCAGTTATCTGTTCCCCAATCTCGATTTCTACTATGGAAATTTGTTTATTTGAAAGATAGGTCTGAAACAAGAGTTTGTTGATGATCTTCATAACGCTCTCTTTCCTCTCAAGCTGCTGTTCTTCATGCCCAACTCCTGGTAAATGTGGGTCACTTCCCTACCTTTACCATTTCGTCACCACCTCTCACTTCAACTCCTTGTTTCCTAGCTTTGTGCCCTGCCACTTTAGAGAAACTTCTCTTTTGAGGTTCACACATAGTTTTTCAGTAAACAAGTAAGAGGTCACATCCATTGTGACTTCTTAACCTCATTGGACATCGTCAGTGGTGCTCTTTCTTATGTATCCCCTCCCCTGACTTGTGTGACCCCGAGTTATATTATCTTATTAAAGAGTGTGCATGTGCACCATTTGCTGGCTTATTTCTCCCCTCACCATCTCAGCTCTCTCAGCCCTTCTTAGCTAAACATAATGTGAAGGTTTTGCATCCCTCCCAGAACTTGACATATTGCCCTTATTCCTGAGCTGTCACCTCTGTGTTAGGGCCCATATCAAACCAGTTACTGGACATTTACACATTTCTACCTACCCTTCAAATTCCTTGCACTTACATGTAAATTCAGAAGTTCCCTGCTGTTATAATGTATTAATGTATTTTTATACATTATATATAGATTATTTAATAATAATTATTTGGTAATATAAGCAATACTATTTATTATTATACATTATAAATAGATTTTAACTAGTGGGTACATCTTGAAGTCCAATGAGATGCACATTTACTCCTTGGGTTCAAAAGCCTGATCGTTTCCTAACTTCTTAGATACCTCTTCATTTTGCTTCTTAGTCTTCATTCCCACCACTAAAACTTAGTTCACCCTACAAACTTTTTTACTCTAGCTTTGTCTCTCACATCTCCTCTTCATTTTTCTCAACACTTAATCATCAGGTAAAGTTTCCTACAAAACTAATTTTTGTTCTTATCATCATCTCTGCACTGTTCCTTTGGCTATATATTTGTTCATTAGTCCGCTTATTCTGTATTTAGTGTATTCAACAAATATTAAATGCTAACTCATTGCCTGTTAAGGAGATTATAAAAATGAACAAAACAGACGTGGAGTCTTCCACAAAATTTACACACTAATAAGGGAGACAGACATTAAACAAATACCTAGGAAATAAGTGAATTATACTGTAATAAATGCTCTGAAGTCTACTTCCCCTCCTTACTCCTTCTGTGGGGAGGTTTTCAATAAACTGGAGTGACAGAGTGAGGGAACTGACACTGTATTTGTACATAGCATTTCAGCAAGTGAAATTGCAGCTATGAGAGTGTAAGGACGAACAAAAGCAAAGGGAGGAAGTGCCCTAGAGTCTTGGTGAAATGTTGAGTAATGCAGTTTGGTGTGGGGGGTGTGGGGGATGTGCAGGGGAGGAGTGGAAGTCTAGTATGTGAATTAACGGTAGTGAACACTATCCAGTATGCTTCGAAGCATTTTACGTGCTTTATCTCAGGTTTTCTGACAAAAACCTTACAAGGAAGGGATGTTACCCCATTTTTCAGAGGAAGAATTGGAGGTTTAGGAAGGTTCATTATTATAGATCATGAACTCAGCAAATGGCACAACCAGCATGCAGTCACAGCTCTCTTACCCCAAGCTTGGGCTATTATTGGTAAATTTGGGGCCATAGTGATCCTGTACGATTGTGGGAGCATGTGGCTCTTTCCAGGATGCTTTCCTTCACCACCCATCTTTGGACGCCTAGGTCTGTAAATACTACTTTGATGACATTGAATCTCTGCTCCTTGAAGAAGGAATCATTTATCTTTGTATTTTTTCAGGGCTCCTAGCATTTTATCTTGCCTTAAATAGATGTTCTATAAACAGTTATTGAATAACTGTGCTAAAGTCATCACCCTTCACATGGACATTTACATTAGGACCATTTGATATATGCCTTAACTGAAAACAATTGCTAAAGCATGTGACTGTCACTGCCTTCATTTTTCATAATTTTCTTAGTGCCGTCCTGTTTCCTTCCTAGGGTTTATATGTACACAACCCACCAGACCCCACCTCCCCCAGAAATATATCAGTAATTCTCTGTAGCAACAACGAAAGTAGGAAATTAGCAAGCAGCTCAGCTCATTCAGATGCGCAGCCAGCTCTAGGGATCACTGCTTATGTCAGTTGTATCCTATGATTAGGGATATCTTTTGAAAATTTGGGAGAGGTACCCAGGATATTAAATTTGGGAGAGGTACCCAGCTTCTAAGAGAAACTTGCTCCTATGTTCTTTTTTTTTGGAGACAAATTTGAACACCTGAAACATTAAGAATCATTTGGGGGTGGGGAATAGAAAGATAGATTGGCAGGCTATATAAATGTCTATTTCTGGTAATGTATAATACAAAAGGAACCAGTGCAATGGGAAGCAGTGGCAAGTGTGTCCCTGAGAAAGGCAGGCCGACACAAAGACTGAGAGCCACGTAACAGAATTGGAGAGAGAAAAACAGGTTCTTAGTTTAACGCTGCAGAAGCAATATGCTACTTTGTGCGGAGTACACACGTGAAGTTCTCCAGATCAAACACTGGACTTCTGGTCTAAGGTTTTTGTTCTTTGTTGCTGCCACTACCAATTAGGAACACAGTGCAGTTTGTTTTCTCTGTGAGGAGTTCTTTTCTCATATAAGCTCCTTAGGATAAGATGGATGCTGTTGGGAAGTGCTTGCCATGGGCAAAAATATACAAAGAGTAAGAAAAGGAGGTTTACCAAAGGTTAGATTTGGGCATTTTCTAAGAAAATGGAAGATTATAAAATCCAAGAGAGAAATTGCTATAGAAAGATTCAGAGCCAGGCACAAGAGAGGGCACATCCTGGACTCTGAAACTTTGGCTGAGGAATGTGTTCAGTGATGTGCATATGCTTTCGTTATGCTGTGACTAAATTTCTTTCCCACGTGGGAAAAAAGTAGTGCTTGTATTCATTGTGTCTGTGGGGTGGTGGTGGAGAGGTGGTCCAGAAGGGAAGAGTGGTGATGTCAGAACATGTTTGCATTTTCAGCTGTTTGCCTCACACCTAATGACCCCTACATGCTTTATTGTTTTGTCATTTGGAAATAAATATAAGTGT